TTTTTTTTTAATATAATTAATTCATTATACTTACTATCGGAAGGATTTGATCCAACGATACCACCCAAAGCGGATGATCCCTTATTTGTCACTTTTGCGAGATAGCTCTCATCGTTAGGTTGGTTAGAAGAAGGATTATGTTGGCCTTCCGTGGCTGTATCTAAAGAACCGGGATAAAAAAAATAATATAAATTTCATTTATAAAAATTATTCGTTTTTTTTTTAATATAATTAATTCATTATACTTACTATCGGAAGGATTTGATCCAACGATACCACCCAAAGCGGATGAGCCCATGTTTGTTACTTTTGTTATAAAGCTCTCATCATTATGTTGGTTTGATGAAGGACTACGTTGGCTTTCCGCGGCTTTATCTTCAAGCATCAGAGATAACATTAATTTAAATGATATTTTTCTTTTAAAAAATGAATTCATTAAACTTACCATTTGATCCAACAACACTACCCAAAGTAGATGAACCCATGTTTGTTACTTTTGTTAGAATGCTCTCATCATTACGATTAGAACTATCTTGAGATTCAGTTTGGGTCGATGAAAGATTAGGTTGGTTCGACGACGGACTACGTTTGTCTTCCGCGGCTTTTTCTAAAAGAATTCGAGATAAAATTAATTTAATCAAAAATCTTTATTGTTCTTTAAAGAATGAATTCATTATACTTACCATCGGAAGGATTTGATCCAACAATACCACCCAAAGCAGATGAGCCCACGTTTGTTTCTTTTGTTAGATAACTCTCATCATTTTGTTGGTTCGATGAAGGACTACGTTGGCCTTCCGCGGCTTTATCTAAAATAATCCGAAATAAATATAATCGATATAAATCCTAATTACCATTTTTTTTTTTTAATTAACGAGTTCATTATACTAACCTTCGGTAGGATTTGATCCAACGATACTACCCAAAGCAGATGAGCCCATGTTTGTTACTTTTGTTATAATGCTCTCATCATTATGTTGGTTCGATGAAGGACTACGTTGGCCTTCCTTGGTTGTATCTAAAAGAGCCCGAAATAAATATATAATCCTAATTTGTTCTTTTTAATGAGTTCGTTTAACTTACCACCGGAAGGATTTGATCCAACAACGCTACTCAAAGCGGATGAACCCATGTTCGTCACTTTTGTTAGAATGCTCTCATCGTTATGTTGGTCTTTCTCGGTTGTGTCTAAAAGAACCCAATAAAAAAGTATTATTGATCAAAATCTTTTATAATTGTTTTTATAAAACAATCATACTTACTACCAGAAGGATTTGATCCAACAACGCTTTCCAAAGCGGATGAGCCCAAGTTTGTAACTTTTGTTAGAATGCTCTCATCGTTATTAGGTTGAGAGTTAGGTTGAGAATCGAACGGGGAAGATTCTTTATTACCATCTTGATCTGGTGTAGATGGATAACCTACGTTTAGGAGAAGGATTAGTTTTATGGCGCAGTATCCAAGGTTCGAAAATTTATCAACGTACCACCAGGAATAAATTCGGGTTTTGTAACGGATGTCATTTTTTATTTCGTTTTTTTTTTTTTAAAATTAAATTAAACTGAATTGAATTTTAAATCTTTTTCATCGCGTTCTTTATATATAATATTTTTTACACTTTCTGCGGGCACTTCAATTACCCAATTACCTCATAAAAAATGGTCATAATGATCGCATTTAATGTAGATCGTTGTTATATGAATTATGACATTATTAAACACATTGTGTGTATTTTACGCCTTAAAATTAAACGATGATGAAATAATTTGGCGTTAGTTGACAAACGGTGACATATACAAAACAAGGAAACCGATGGGTCAATGGCTAATCCAAATTTATAAGTTTCGGTCATAAAAATGTTTCTTGGCAGCTTTTGTTCATGCGATCAGCAAAAGAAAAAAAAAGAAATTTTCTCTTTTATTCCTTTTTTCATTCATAAATAATGCCAAAATCACCGCAAACAAAAAATATTGTAGGAAGAGGGGAGATACCGCAAGAAAAGGATGATCCCCATCAATCGGAAACAACCGTTCATAATAGAGAAATAAAAACTTCCGCGACTCCAATGACAACTGGAGAGATTGGAATTTCTCGAGATTTTATGGACATTTCTGATTCAATCACTACGACTAACGCAATACACGATGTGCATGATATACAGCAACCCGCCACTTCTGGTTTTACATCTTCTACGCAGAGGATGGAGGAAAGAAAGGAGCAAGACGAAGAAGGTGACGATCATGAATCACGCACAAAAGAAATTTTAGATAAAGCTTTTTCAGGTGTTCAATTGGATAAAGATTTTCATCGGTAAATAAAAAAAAATAAACTTTTCCATATTTCTTTTGAAAGTTTGTTATGATTTTTTTTTTTTTTAAAAGAATAGTTTTTTGATATTACTAGTGAATTGCATGGTTCTCGCGTGGAAGATCACCAGAAACCTAGTGGACAAGTTGTCGGGGCAACTAGAAGTCAAGAAGGTGATCAAAATTTACCTTACATTGAATAATTTACCTACTTGTGACAAGTAAAGTGTTAAAATAACCGGTTAAGAAACACCAAGGGAAAGTTCTTATTTGGATATATACTAGCAATTGATCACGAGGTTTATCATCATATGTCCGAAACTTTATGGATTTTTTTTTTTTCGGAAACTCTTTCAAGAGAAATATTATCAAATGTATATACGTATTTTTATTACATATGGAAACCCCAATTCGGTTAAAAAATATTTTGCTTTGCAATCATTACATGTTAAGAAAGCAACCCTTGAAATAAAAACCCTTTTCAATTATTTTATATAATTTACCTGAAAAAAATTCGAAATTAGTTCTCTCAAGTACATCTTTATTTACTATGTAATCTGTTCTTAAGTTTAATAAACTAATCATTTTGTTGAGAGCAAAGTTGGATTTATCGATTCTCGTGGAATTTTATACAGCAAATTGCAAATAATAAATTTTAACAAATAATGAGAATATTAATTCTTAATTAACTGTGCATTTCCCTTTGCATTAATAACAGCAAGTACAAAGTAAAATTTTTATTTTTATTTTTTATTTTTTTTTTTATATTGAAAGTTATTGATCAACTTGTTCTTCCGAGGTTTCTTCTTGCTTGGACTTCACTTGCTTTTCTGACATTTATAAAGCGTAAATTTAACACCTTTTTTTTTTAAAAACATGATTTATTTAAGTGATAACCTTGCCTTGAACTCTTTTATTTGGATCTTGTTTAATGGATTGTCGAGTAGGACTGTATTGATGTTCTTGCCAAATTTTAAACAGATATTCTGATGTATAATTGCGCGGTGGGGGTAGAGTCGTTGGCGTTGCGTGAATTTTTGGAGTACATTTGGCAGAAAAGTTTTCTGATATTTGCTCAGGTGGGGTTTGAGACATTTTTTAATAAAAACTAGAAATTATTTTTTTTTGATTCTGGAGAAAAAAAAAAAAAAAAGACTTAAATAATCAAATACGGGCATGAAGTAATGATGTTGGTCATGTAATCATGTAAAGTCCATTATTCCAAAGAAAGTATCGCAACGTATATACGTCTTTTTTTTTGTTTTAATAAATAATCATGCCATAATTTCATCCGTGCATAAATTTCTTTTTTAGTAGTTTAGTACACAAATCAAAATTGTATGAAGCGTTAATATATTATGTTGTACTAGTTAAACAAATCGCTCGTCTTTAAATATTTATTATTATTAGCTCGATTAGAAGGAAAAAAAAAGAAGCATTATTGTTGTCTTTCCTTTTTTGGATAATGTGGAATTTATTTAAAAGGCGACGAGGTAATTCTCATAAAAAAATATATATTTCTTTTCTTACATTAGATTCTCATCAAACGCTCCTTACTCTCTTCCATTTTAATACCCTCCTTTTTTTTTTTTTTTTTTTTTACCACATTTTATTTCTTTTAAAAATCCCCTCCCTTTCCATTTGTTCTTACGAATTCCCTTCTTCTCGATCTCATCTAATCCATCCTCATTCACACATCCAATCAAATCCTTTTTTTTTTTTAACCCACTACCGAACTTCAACTTGTATAATCCTCTATTAAATAATGAGATTAACCACAATAAATAGTGGTATTTTATTATTTCTTTTGATTTTAATCATATGCATTATTGATAATGCTAATGCACAAAAAGAACCTAAAGAGGTAGTTACCGAAAATGGAAAAGGTAAAGCACCCATCAAAGAACCCAAAGCAGCTGCCAAAGGAAAGGCCAAGGAACCTCAAGGAAAAGAAAATGGGCCACTACCTAAAGTTCCACCCAATCCAAAGTCTCCCATTGCTAAACTTTGTTTTGCTGGTAAAAAAATAAAATAAAATATTATATTATTCATTAATAAAAAATAAATAATAAATGAACATTATCTTTGACATTAAATTTTAAATTAGATCCAAAGGTGATGACAGAAAAGAAACTTGGAAAAGTAGAAGATGTTCCATTCAAGTAAATTACCATTTTGTTTTGCTTTTTTTTTTTCCACCTTTTAAAATTAATGCCTTGAAATAAATATTTAGAGTTAACATTGGACTTAAAGATGTTTATACACCACAAGGAGAAGATGTTAAAATAACAATTGAATGTAAAACTCCGTTAGAAAACTTAATTATTTATGCTGACACAGTTTCAAAAGATCATGTCGGTCAATGGAAAGAACAGAATGGTTTCGCATTAGATCGTAAGTGTTGTACATCATCCTTGCCTAATTATCATTTTTTTTTTTTTTTAAAAAAAAAAATAATAAAAATAATAATAATTTTACTTTTTTTGTTGTTTAAAAAAGCTTCATGTCCCGGGGACAAATATGGTACATTAATCAGCACAAAAGCGCCACCTAAAACGATAGAATTATTATGGACACCACCATGGATAACAGGATATAATGATATAACATTTAAAGCGGCCGTATTTACAAAGACGGGATTTTCAACTCTTACATCGAAAGTTTATAAAGAATCTGGAACAAAAATTACTGATCCCGGTAAAGAAGTTAAAATAGCTGATAATAAAAGTAAGGATAAAGGTGAAGGGAAAGGTGAAGGGAAAGGTAAAGGAGGAGGGTTTGGTGCTTCTCCTGATGATGTTAAAGAAGAAAAGGGTAAAATTGGAAATGAAAATGAAAGTGGAAACAATGCGAGTCAACAAACTTCGATCATTTTTGATACAAATAATTTAATTAAATTGTTATTTAGCCTATCCGTAGCTGGATTTTTAATTTATATTTAGGTTGCTAAATGTCAAAATTTATATCATTTATTACGCGAAAGATGCATGCGTACAACAATAAATGTTTTCCGTTTTTGGAATTCTTCTTTTAACAAAGCTATTACATAATTCGTAATCCCTAGATAATCCATCTGAGGATAATCCGGTTCAATTGTTTCCCGGTGAAATTAAACTGAAATTGGGACTTAGACCCGCGTCGAATTTTTATAAATTATAAACTTTAATCGTACCGAATCGCTTATCATTGGTGTAAAATGATCCGATTACATATTGAAACATGCATATATAGTTATATTTTTAAACAAGTCGTATAAATCAAGTTAGAATGAATGAAATCACTTAATCACTGTTTACCAAAGATCGGGTTAAAATATTAAAATTAAAAGTTTACGGTTAAAAAACTATCCGATATCATTACGGAAACATTACACGGTGTTACCGAAAACTTTGAGAGGACTTATTTTAATTATTAATCAATTTAATTTTAATGAAATCTGGTATATAATTGATCGAATTATCACGAGGGGGGAATGTCAAAAACTTGAAAAGCTTTGGTTTTTTTTTAGAATATAAATAAATCAATCCCTTTATTTTTTTTTTTATTTTTTAAATTTTTTTTTTTTATTACATCTCAAAATTTTTACCAGACAAATAAATAAATAAATAAAATAAATGCATACACGACCTAGTTTAGAAAATGATAATGAGGTGGAACCACTTTTATCTCCTACTTCAATTTCTAATAATGTAAAACCATGGTATCAAACGGCTTCGGCATATTGGTTATTACCAGTATATGTATTATTTGCATTAACGGTTGGATTGGGCATATCAACCAAGGTACAATTTTATTTGGCGACGGTATGTAATGATTATTATTCAAGGAATGGAAATGGACTATTACTTTCACCAAATTCCCTATCGCTCAATTCATCATCCGAGGATAATCCGTGTAATAATGCCGACATACAAGCTGCGGCGTCCCAATTCATGATGATCCTGAATTTATGCACCGCCATTCCAGGTAATGATCCCAAAAAAAATGATTTCACCTTCCCCATATTTCTTCCGAAATGAATTCCGAATTCCTATTTTTTAGCCTTCTTCACCCTTGGACCCATTGGTTCGTTATCCGATAGGAGGGGACGTAGGATAAGCTTAATAATAGCCATCACCGGATCACTTATCAACACATTAAACATAATATTGGTCGGTTACTTTTTAGAAAGTTTGGGATTATATTTCTTAATGATCGGATCATTGTTGGATGGATTATGTGGTGGATTTTATTCTTTGTCTGCGGCAAGTTACGCATACTCGGCGGATTGTACTCCTCCGACGCAAAGGTATGTGTGATGATAATTGCTTTTTCTACGCCACCCACTTTTTTTCTGACGTCGTCTCCTACTTTTTAGGAGCGTGGTATTTGGTTGGTTACAAGGAGCCATGTTTATAGGGATCGCATTAGGACCGATGATAGGAGGATGGATAGCAGAGATCACGAATAATTTGCTTTCAGTATTCTACCTAATGTTCATAATATATTTCATGTTGTTCTTATTTTTCATTTTCATCTTACCCGAATCTTTAACACCCGAGAGGTCATTAGCAAATACAAAAAAACAGGCATCAAAAGTTACCGGTAACGCAGGGAGTTCTTTGATCAATCGATTCATCTCTTTTGTTCAAGGGATCTTTGAACCATTATCAATCTTCTTTACATACGAATCACAACAAGGACAAGAAAATGATCATGTTGATAAAATACCCGTCATCGCATCCAAACGTTCATTATTATCATTAGTGATCATAAATACTTTATTATCAATTGCTATGACTGGCATGCAATCTATATTCTTATTATATACGACATTAGTGTTCAATTGGTCATTAATAGAACAAGGTTATGTCATGTTCATGATGGGTACGACAAGAGTTATCGTACTATTTGTTTTATTCCCCGCTTTGGCTTCAAGGTTTAAAAAATCTTTTCGTCAAAGAAAATCAATGAAGAACGATGATCCTGTTGGTATCGTTGATGAACGAATCTTTATTATTGATGATGGTCTTCTTAATAAAGGTGAAGAGGTACAAATGAGAAAGGAATTGGTATTTGACGTTTGGATTATCAGGTTGTCGTTATTTATTGATGCATTCGCTTATATTGCTTTCGGTCTAACGACATCTAGTTCCGTATTTTATGGAGGTGAGCAAGATTTTTCTTTTTTTTTTTAAAAAAAAAAATTAAAATATTCAAAAAA